AACTTACGTTACTATCGAAAAATTAGGGGTTCCCGAGGTCATCCAAAATAACCTTCTCCTTAACGATTTCTGCAATCCGCGGCATCGTGTGCGAGGTACCAGCGAAAAAGTTTTACTAAATTTCAATAAGAAATAAAAGTAATTTCGTCATCGTCCCGATCGATAGACATTTTTGCAAAAATCTATGTAACTCATCGTCGAGCGAGCCAAGCCGGTCTGAAATAAAATTCCGATCGATTGGCCCGATTATAAAAAGCTTCGTTATAGAAAGCTTTGCAAGCTGTACGAACGTGTACACTTTGTCGGGCGACTGTACCACTTTTTTCGGAAACGTGTCAAATCGTTACGAGCGGCCAGCGAGCGAGCGCGCGTTAAAAAGCGTCGGCGGACCTTGGAAGACGTTCAATTCGAACTACATTTCTGGACAGGGACCGTCGTCGTCGACGGTGCCACGAAAGCGCATGAGACCGTGAAACGAATTCAATGTTACTCGGTATTCGCGTTGAGAGAAAAGCAACCACTTCCGGACCGAACTTCGGCCATATTTCCGCGACCGTTAGCCGCCGACCTACGTCGTGTGTTTCGTCTGCCCGTAAATCAGATTCTCTCTCTCTCCCTTCCTCTCTATTTCTCTATCTCTCTCTTTCTCTCTCTCTCTTTCTCTATCTCTCTCTTTCTCTCTATTTCCCCCCCCCCTCTCTCTCTATTTCCCTCTCTCTCTCTCTCTCTCTCTCTCTCTCTCTCTATTTCCCTCTCTCTATCTTTCTCTCTATTTCTCTCTCTCTCTCTTTCTCTCTATTTCTCTCTCTCTCTCTATTTCCCTCTCTCTCTCTTTCTCTCTATTTCTCTCTCTCTCTCTCTCTTTCTCTCTCTCTCTCTCTCTATTTCTCTCTCTCTCTCTCTCCTCATTTTACGTTGATCCCGACGGCCTTGCCGAATCCTTTCGTCTCTGGGTTCCGGTGCTCGCGGACGAGCTGAACCTCCCGGGAATTCATCGATCGGCACACCATACTCCCACGACAGCCGAGGAAGGATACTGTGGGTCCGGGGAACCCAGTACCACCGTTTCAAGGGGAAATCTACATAAACGGATCGGCGAGCACGTGGGACGCACTTCCCGGTTTGATTCCGAGCTCCGGGCGCACACACGCGACCCGGAAAAACGATTACGATTCCGACGCAACTTTCGCGTTTTCCTCTTCGCTCGAACGCTAATACAGACTAAATGTCTCTCTAATTGACGCGCAGATTGTCCACGAAAGATGGACAATTTAGGGAGAGCAGATACGATTGTTCGATCCTCGCGACTCATTTTTATAGTTACCGATTGTCGATAATTATAAAAACGAGCCGACTAATAATAATAATAATAATAACAACAACAACAATAATAATAACAATAATAATAACAACAATAATAATAATAACAATAATAATAATAATAATAATAATAAAAAGGCTTGACTGATCATAGCTCTTGTAACATAAACCTTGATGTTATACGTTAGATTTTATTACTTTTATAAAATACCGCAGTATTCGAGCCGTCCGCAGTAATACCCACACTTACCCTACAGCTTTGTCGACGAAAATGAACTACGAATTACAATGAATGATTGCGAATTCTATGAAAAACCGTCACGCGATCGCATCGAGTTGACAAATTTCATTGATCGTCGCGTAAGCGAAGCGCTTCGAGAGAGGCTGGCCTAAAAATTAGTCGAACAATCTTTCTCTGATAAAATCGACGGGTCTAGAGTCTGCAGTTTCCAGCAATTATCAATGCATTTGCTCTAATGCGTAAAAAACGTACAATTTTTCCGAACGCATTTAGTTCATATGAAGAAAATTGCACGATTTTTACGCCTTCAGGAATGTATTAATTAATGCCGAAAATCGCAGATTCTCGGCTAATGTATCACGTAATAAGGGCAACCGTTTTTAATATAACAATCTCTTAAGCACCCT